AAAAAAAAAAAAACATTGGATAATAGCAAAAAATGTGTGGCCCCACCTTCTTCCCGTGCCTTTTCCTTTAAAATGGCTGCCTCAAATTCATTCCTATCCTCCCCACTTCACGGCTTTTCTCTCTATTTTCCACACCTTCAACAACAATTCAAGAACCAAAAATCCCATAAAGGAAACAACTTTTCAACTTTCTTGTCTTGAGAATTCAAGAATCTGATATTTAATCCTCTTTTCTTGTTGATTAAGGATTAGGGAACAAAAGGGTTTTTTTTTTTAATTTTTTTTTCTGCTAATTTGAAAGGAAAAAAGAAAAGATTTTTCAGGTTGTGTATTAACATGTCTTGTTGTCTGAAAGCTGGGTTTTCTGGCTCCACCAATGTTATCATCAACCATGGAGGAGGAAGCAGCAAAGAGGCTTTTAGGGTTTGCTCCTCAGCTGGGCCTCTGCAATTTCATGGAGTAAATTCAAAGGAATTTTGGGGCAAAACTCTTGATTCCTTGGATTTGAGAAGGGGTTCCAAATTTATTACTAGGGCACCAAAATTAGACTCTGTAAATGTGAGTACTTTTATTATATATATATTTTTTTTTCCTTTCTGATTCTTGAATCTAATTATTATTGTTATTTTTCTTTTCCCAGGCACAAGGGTCTGTTTCCTTTGGGAAAGCTTTGAGATGGTGGGAAAAATCTTTGCAGCCAAACATGATTGAGATCAACTCAGCTCAAGAATTGGTAAATTATTTGTCTAATGCTGGTGATAATTTAGTTGTGGTTGACTTTTATTCCCCTGGTTGTGGAGGATGCAAGGCTTTGCACCCTAAGGTACAATTTTTTTTTTTAATTTTTTAAATTTTTTTTTTTTGTATCACAATTTGACTAATTATTCATTAATTTGTGAGTTATCCTTTGTTTTCTTGGTCTGTTGAATAGATATTTTGAATCTTGGTTTAGTGATTTGTGTGTATTTTTTTTCCATGTTTGTACAGATCTGCCAACTTGCTGAAATGAACCCAGATGCCATTTTTCTCAAGGTTAATTATGAGCTACACAAAGCCATGTGCTATGCCCTTCATGTTCATGTTCTGCCCTTTTTCAGATTCTATAGAGGAGCTAAAGGCAAAGTCTGTAGCTTTAGCTGCACAAATGCCACAGTATGCAAATCTTGATTCATTCATTCACCTTCCCTTTTTGAAAAATATACATAATTGTGATCGAAATTTATCGAAATCTTTTTTGATCAAATTTGTTGACAGATCAAGAAATTTAAGGATGCATTGGCCAAACACGGGGCTTCGGACCCGTGTGTTGTCGGCCTGCCGGCAAAGGGTTTAGACGAATCGGAGCTGTTGGCATTGGCCTCAATCGGTCAGATATCTGAAGATTTGTTAGTATCTAAGTTAAAAAATGAAGAGAATTTGGTTCTTACTGAAGGTGCTAAATCGAAAAATGATGAGAATAAGATGGGACTCAGAGAAGGGAATGCTATGGTAGCAGCCTGAAAGGAAATCCCTTTCTTTTTTTTCTTCTTATTTTTGGTTCTGTTGTGAGATGTAAATATGTTTACATTTTTATGTGTATTGTGTAAGCTGCAGGGCTTTATGGTTTTAGGTGTAAGCCCTGTGTATTTGAAGAACCTTTTTGCAGGTTCACTTGCTCTTGGTTCTCCTTTGTAAGAGATTTGATATTGGGTCTTTTTATGGTTTTGCAAAATTTGTAGTCTTTTGGAGATGGTAATAGATTGGGGAAATTGCAATTTTAGTCTTGTTGGTTTGAATTGTTTGATTCAATGGCGTTTTTAGTCCCAAGAATTGAACATTTTTGTTATTTGGTCCTATGATTTTAAAATTCAATGTTATTTCAGTCTTTTGGGACTGAAAATGCAACAAAACAAAGGCTGGAGCATAGCCCCCGTTCTTGTCATCGGCTCGTCCCTCGGGTATTGGCATTCACGGGCTTGATTCCTTTGACTCGAAAGTACCGATCCTCATGAGATGTGGGATGACCAAAATTTAAAATTACAGTGCTTAAATTGTTAATTAAAAATCTTTTGGATAGATTTCTTATTAGCAATTTAAGTACTGTAATTTTAAATTTTTATTGCAATTTCAGTCCCGAATGATTGAATTGCACCAAAATACTAAATTATAGGATCAAAAGACAAAAAGTTGAAATCTTGGAAGTAAAAATCTTTCTGCATTAAAACCATAAAACCAACAGGACTAAAAATGCAAAAATTTTGCATTTTAGTGTAGTATTTGGGCAAATTAATTTATGCACATGGAATTGTGGATCAAGTTGTGTTATGTTGTTTTTAGTAAAAATTTTGCATTTTAGTGTAGTATTTGGGCAAATTAATTTATGCACATGGAATTGTGGATCAAGTTGTGTTATGTTGTTTATCTGTGCATTTTAGTTTCATCTTACCATGTTAATTCAGATTCTTTGACAATTTTGCATTAATTTTTCTGATTTTTAGTAGTTTATTATTTCACTTTATTTTTATTTGAGCTAGACAATAAATGATTTTGGTGATTAATTTGGATGGATAATGAAGAATTTGATTACCTATTAGGATCTGCATTTAAATGATTTCAAGAATTTTGAGTTTACAAGTTTGGAAATTTAATGAATAATGTAATTTTATTCAAGTTAGGAATGTTGGTTTGTGTTTGTTACACAATCATCATTAGAAGGAAATGTCAAAATTTATTACAAATATTTATATAGAAATAAATAAATAAATGTAATTGCTATTAAGTGATGGTAGATAATAAGAAAATGAAATGTGCATGAAAGATAAACTGTAAACTAAAGTTATATAGTTTAATAGTTGGAGTTAAATGATATTTTTGTTAATAAAAATAAAGAAAAAAAAAGTGAAATGAAGAGATATATGGAGTAGGACGTGGCGATGTGTCAGCTTATAAATTTCTACCAATGAAAAGTCTCTTGGATAAGAGTCACAACTCACAACACAATAGTGCAACTATAAACAATTAATAATAAAGTGATACATAATAAATTAAGGAAATATTATTGTCCGTACGGAATCATTTCGTTGGGGTTTGTAACTGCTAGATTATCATGTAATCGCTGGGATAGTTGATCTAACGATTACAATCCCGACGGAATGGTTCTATAACGTGATCTTAGCATCTCCCAATAAATTATAATATATGGCACTTTTGAAATTGTTTTCCTATTAAAAATTGTTTTCCTATTAAAAAACTTTGACCGACTAACAATGAGAGTGCCTAAAAGAAGACTTAACTATCGTCATACATACAAATACTTTAATAACACAATATTATATTTTCAAGAGATAATATAAAAAGGGTGACATTTCATATAATACAAATATACAATTTTATCTATAAAGTACGAAGAGCCCATCAATCAATCCATTATATTGCCTAATTACAAATATTATTTGTAACCATATACTTATTAAGTTATTATATATAACACACACATATATATAGCTTAATTACAATAATGAAATTTTATTGTAGTTGGTTATTCAATAAATTAAGTTTGTTGGTGTTTTTGATTTGATATTTGCCTGACTGATTGATTGGTTTTGTGCATGAGGGTAGCATGATGACTATTAAAATTAATTTTAATTAATATATGGGATAGAGAGAAATGTTGTTAAATGAAATGAACTATTACTGAGCTTTTTTTTTTTTTTTTTTTTTTT